CTCGTTGGTGCCCAATTACTTTCTGGCAAATAGCGCATGCCTCAAGCGAAGATTTATCATGGAGTAGATCGATTCGTCAGTATGCAGCAGGCTAGCTAGCTACCCCATTGATTATATGCGGTGCACATACACGCTTCTTGCAACAAAACGCGCCTTCTGAGCATGAATTCAGATTATGATTCCTAGCTTTTATTGATCCTTGATTTTTGAGGATCTTTATATACCTATATACAGTAAAGTTAAAAAGGAACATCCCCTCAAAAAAAAAAGGAACAGGAGGACGAACTCACCACAATGTCGAGGGAGGATTCGCCGAGGCCCTTCAAGTATGATTTGGCCATCGGTGTGGCGGGCAGGTCGGAGACTCGATTCCAGAGACCGGTTTTCTGGCTGTATATATCGAAAAAAGGACTGATTTGATCGCGGATTGCGACTGAAAAAGGGAAAGGCTTCGATTGCGGATTGCGGACTGCCGCTTGACTGCTTCGATTGCCGGTTGTAGCTCGGAAAGGAGCTGCTGCTTCGATTGGAGACTACAGCTCCCAAAGGGAGTCTGCTTATTTGGTCGCCTGTTCGCAACCACCACTCGACCCTCAGACGAGGCCTTCGACGGCGATGGCGACGGCGAGATGGGGGAGATCGGCAAACGGCAGGCGACGGGGTATAACTGACCTCCGACTCCCTTTTCCTTTCTTGTTTTTTTTTTTTGAGGGGTTTTTCCTTTCTTGGTTTTTTTTTGAGACAATTTTCCTTTGTTGGTGGAACTCTAGAGGCGGCGGCAAGATGATGGGCTAGGCCCAATGTGCGCTTGCAGCCAAATTGTTCCCGACGTGAGGCCGAGCTGGGCTGATCTGTCTATGGTGCTAAAAAGAATACACTTTTAATTTATGTAATTTTTGTTCATGAGTTAGGAGTTTGAATTTTGAGGCTCATAATCTAGCGAGGCGCGCATTACAATTCGGGTTGGCTGTCATGTTTGGTTAGACCACCCCGGTGACATTTCGTTCGTCCATGTAAATATTAAGATGGGTCAATAAAGCTTTGCATGATTGTTTAAAAAAGCTTTGCCAGCAAGTGTCTCAAAACAAAATGAAAACATAATCTCTACTATTATAGGGTCCAACTCCCCCTCCCCT